CAGAATCGTGGGGCTAGGAATTGGATCTGGCCTAAAATACATCCGTTTTTTTATTTCTTACTAGAAATTAGGGGTGCTGGTTCTGTCTATAGAACCAATACCTATAATCTCTATATGTGTCGTTTCTTATGTGGTTCGGTGAAAGATGCCGCCAAATTAATACCGGTAGGGAAACCCTTATGATGGGTGCTTAACTGGTACCAAAAGGGGGCCTTCTACAACTGTTCCATTTTTTTCCAAGCATTTTATTTGACAGTGCATTTGTTTCCTCTCATCATTTAGTGTGGAAACTAACTTGATCTCTTTTCTGATTAGGACTCACATTTTCAAACTACTAAACAGTGAATTCCGTGTGAAACCTTTCTATATAAAAGTTGATTTAAAATATTAAATGTATCGATTTCTCAAGACTGAAATAATTAAAACTTAATTAAGCATAAGCTAATGACTTTCTTGTTTTACGTGCACCAACTTAATCTTCGTCTTTTTCTGTTTCAAACAACACCTTCAAATTCTCCTCGGTGCGCTGGAACTTGTGCAATTATGTTGTGCTTTTCCACGTCTAGCTTTCAAAATGTTTATCAGAAGACCTAATTAAAATACTGCTTACCCATCCACACTACTAAAAAAAGCTCATAGAGATCGGCACTATAGGTGCCGAAACAGTTAAAACCGACACCTATAGTGCTTTTCCATATCCCACAGGCTGAAAACACATAAAACCGACACCTTTAAACAATTCTAGGTGTCGTTTTTAAAGGTAAAACCGACACCTATAGTATAGATATCGGTTTTTTAAACAAAACCGACACCTATAATAAACCGGCACCTTTACGGAGCAGAGCCGAGCCTATTTATTACAGGTGTCGGTTTTCTTAATAAACCGGCACCTATACGGAGCGGAGCGGAGCCGAGCTGGCGAGCGGGCCTTATCCATCTCGGTCTTATCCATCCGCCTTATATCAAGTCCCTCCCGTCTCTCCCGGCCTTATTCACTCTCTCGCCTTATATCCATCCGTCGCTCTCACTCTCTCGCCTCGCCTCCCCTCCTCTCTCTCTCTCTTGTGACTCGTCTCAGCAGCAGGCCAACGGTGACCGGGTGGAGGCAGCAGTGCCGGTGGCCCTACGGAGGCAGTAGTGGAGGCAGTTGCGTCCTCCCCTCCACCAGATCCGGCCGGAGGGGAGGCAGCGGACTTCGGCGGTGGCCCGGCGGAGGCAGCTGGCAGCGGCCGCGCCCTCCCCTCCACCAGATCCGGCCGGAGGGGAGGCGGCGGACCTCGGCGGTGGCCCGGCGGAGGCGGCAATAGCGGCTGGCAGCGGCCACACCCTCTGCCAGATCCGGCCAGAGGGGAGGTGGTGGACCTCGGGGACTACCGGGCAACGGTTCAGCGGAGGCGGCAGCTGACGGCCGCACTCTCCCCTCCGCTAGATCCGACCGGAGGGGAGACGCTGGTTCTGGCAACGGCGGCGGCTGCGCATCCCCCTCCATCGGATCCGGTGGGAGGGGAGGCGACGGGGCGGCGGTGGCAAGCGGCGGCGCCCGATGGATTTTTTTTTTGATGTTTTTGTAGATTTTTTTAAGATGTTTTTGTAATTTGTGAATGATTTTGTTGTTGAATATGTTTCGATCTGTGATATGTGATATGTGGGGATTTGGGGATCTGTGATTTGTGAACTGGGATTTGGGGATGTGGGGAACTGGCCGAGGCATTGCAGCAGGCTGGCATTGACGACGATTGTGAGTTCGGCTCGATTCGAGCCGGCTCTTTTTTTTGGCTCGTGGAAACCTATAGGTGCCGGTTGCTAGTATTGGTGCCGACTAGTAGGTGCCGGTTGGAAAACCGGCACCTATAGTCGGTTACCAGTCGGCACCTGTGATGGTTTTTGTACTAGTGCTAGAAAATTTAGTAATTCAGCTATAGCATTTTCATTATTTGTCATTATTCAACCTGAAAAAAGAAAAGCTAAGAGGATAGAATGTTATATATGGGCTATCATAGTCTGATTTTTCAAACTAATTAATAGATTGTACCCTCCATCCTAAAACCTAAAATATGAGTTCAAGCTAGCATTAAAAAAAAAATCTTAAGATATAACAAGATATCCACCTATATTCTCTTCTCAACCAATCATGACCAACCTAGTAAGTAAAGAAGTAAAATACATGTGATGTGTTTAAATGCTCTGCTCTGTTTATTATTTCATTCGTTCTGACATATGGCAACTTAGGATCCGATTAGACGCACATATGCGTACTAATAGTACGAATATGAACGATTTCCTCTAGTCATAGGTTATCCTATGTTAAGACAAGAGAGATGAGTCACTCGTACGGGCACGTACTTTTAGAAGAAACAACGTGTGATATAGATCAAAAAGTCATGCTATACAACTTACATATCCTTCTCAGTTATTATATGATGAAGAATCACGAAAGGTGAGTAGTGTTTCTTTGACAGCTATTGCGACAAAAATAATCTTCCAGGCATGTGTTTGACCTGTGCTCCGAGCTCCGAGCTTTCAGTGTATGCAATTGTACAATGTCAGTTGTGAGTAGTACACATGCGAAAGTTGTCGTGTTGAGTCCTACAAATATGACGGCCAGGAAAATTCTTTTTTCAGCCACAGTTCTGTGTGCTTTTCCAGGCATGTTGTTTGACATTTTGTTTCTTAACTCTGGAATTCTTGATGGCTTTGCAAAATGTTTCTCAAAAGTACTCAACTATAGCTTTCTGAATTTGTAACTCAACCTGAAAAAAAAAGAGAAAGCTAAAAGGGTAGAGTGTTATATATATCGACTGTAGTCTGACTTTTATGACTTATTATACTCTGATCTGAAAGTTATTCCAGATGACAACAAATACTTTAGAATTGACCATATTCATGGAAAAGAAGGGGACGATCAATTAATTTTATGTAAAAGCCTCTCATAGATAGCCGCCTCAGAGACTAATTAAAGGATTACACGAGGGTTACAGTTATTTTGGAATGGAGAGGGAGTAGAATCTAAGAGGATATATAGTGTTATATGGATTATAAGTATGATTTTTTTGACTTATATGTACTCTGAATTGACCATGGAAAATTTATTCCACACCACAACTTTAGAATTGACCATGGAAAAAATGGGCGTCGCCCTATAGCCTGATGGAATTGATAGCTGCCTCAGTGCCTGTTCGTCGCATGAATACTGCATGCTGTCAAATCTGAGGCGTGCTTGGACCTTTCAGCTTGAATGATCTCAATTGATGTATTGGTTCTTCAAATTAATCCGATTTACCATTGTGAGTGATGATAAATTAATCCGTGGAAAATATGGTTTTTTGTATTGTACTCCCTCCCGTACATATTGCATGGTGTTTAGCACTTGTTGTAAGTTGATCTGCACCAACATCTACACTAACAAAATAGTTTTATTAATTAAAATCCATCGTTAAATATGTCATCTTATAGTGTATTGATTTGTACAGTACCACACATGCAATAGATCATCACTGCCGATTCACTTTGTATTCCCACCTCGTACAAATTTCAACCAACAATGCTACCAGTATCCCTCGTTGTTAGAATTTGTTTCAAATATTTTTTTAGATAATGAAATAGAATATCCTGGCCTTTGCTCAAAATGAGCTACAGCCAATTATTACAAAGTTGCACTCAAAAAAGACTGTAGTTCAATAAAACATTGAGAACACGCATTTAAAATAAAAAAATAACCCATCTAAGATAAGGAGAACACGTTATTGAAGTCTATTTATGAATCTCCAACCATAATTGGCAAAAAGTTACATAACTGTCGTCTCAAGCCTACGGCATGCAAACTTCATAAACTCGCCATCTTCATTACACCTTTGTAGCTCAGACCAACACCGGAGCCAATATATTGCCCTGAAAATTACCTGCATATATGTAATAGATGGTGATTTGTCAAAAACCAAATCATTCCAGCTCAACCACAGAGCCCAATATATTGCAGAGGCTCCCACAAGTATATTTGTTTCAAATATATGTACGTTGGTTACAGTTTAGAACTTGTAGTTATATTAGGTGTTAGGAATAGAGTATGATTTGGACCCTATTCTACGCTATCCCCTAAATAGAGGAGTAGACCTGTTATAACCGCATTTGACGATTTAGATAGCTAGAGGGAGCGGCTACCGGCGGCGTTCGGCTGAGGGTCGTTATAACTCTGATACACTGTAATATGCTGGATCGGTGAGGAGTACCCGTAATCAATGCTCCAGAGATGTAGGTTTCGGCTGAACTAGATCCATTACCAAATATCATGCCTTGGTGTTGTCATCATGTTTAGATCTAATAGGACGTTAATTCTTGCGCGTTCGGTTCTCAATATGCTATTGGGGCCGGTTCTGTAACACTCTTGGTTTGGTTTCACCATAAACCAACCGAAGAAAAAACTTTTGCTTGTTCTTGACCAGCAGGGGAACGGAAAAAAAAAAGTCACCCGTCTCCCACGCCACTATGTAGTGTGTGTCTATCATCTCCTTCGTCCGTACCTTCTCCTTCCATTGGTGGATCCATCGGTGGAAATGGAGGTGGATGATAAGGCACTGCACCCCAGCACCGAACACGTGCTTCACCATGGGGCTGGCCCTCAGTGCATGTAACCTCAACAACAACGGGGAAGCGGCCCTGCCGTAACTAATTAGTTTTAAAGTCCTGCAGTATGATAAGTGTGCCCATGTAGAATTTAAATAAAGAGATATTTTTGCATTATAATATATCAGCAAGTCGTACAAGTTAAAGTTTAAGCACTGCCAATGCATTTCTCTCATGATTTTATAATGTATTATAATTCTCGACACTATTGCCTTCCCACCATATGTCATTTGTCAATCAATACGTGCAGGCTACTTGTCTTTTCTTAGCGACATATACAACAATTAGATAATGAGAGAATCAGCTATGCTTATCTGATGATTCAATTTGGAGGTGTGTTTTTCCTTCTCAATGCTGGGAAAATGTGATATCCCTTTGTAGGCTTATTTCCTTGATGTTTCACCTTATCATGTGGTTGGGGAAAATTACAAAGGAACTTTTCTTTTAATACGTAAAAGGCTTGTATATCATTGTATTAAGAAGAAAAAGGTTCATATTACAACTCTCGCCTGGCTATAAGACCGGCAGCTACCTTAGAGTTACAAAGCGGATGTCTCGCGATACCGTAGGAAAACCTTTTTTTTAAAAATTTCTCAGCCAAATTAAGATGGACTAGTTGCCTCTAGTTTTCAGTGGCTCAAAGATTACTCCATTCATAGCACCCATCATTTCCTTCGGCGAGGAAAATCCATCGGCCTGAGAGTAGAACACATGGCTTGTCTTGTAAAGATTCCAGAACATCTCCTTGCATGATTTAGGAATGACACCGTCTTCTCTAACAACCAACCGTAGCAACTCTCTTCTACATGATGATATAGACTCGTTTATCGCCTCTTTAGCCTCTTCTACTGACATGACATCTTTGCTGTCAAGAACAAGCAGTGACACACTGTTCAGTTTGCCATCCTTGCATTCCCTCTGCAACAGCATATCAGTTGTCAGAATTACCCAATCATAAACTTAATTTGTATGGCCGGAGTAGTAACTGATCCATACGTTATATATTAAGACTTTTTTTGTTTGTACTAAGTTAAACTTTTTCAATCGTAATTGAAAAATGAAGCAACATTTGTAACGCAAAACAAATATACTATAAAATTATATTTAATGGTGGATTTAATATATGAAACTAATTTCGTGTTCTACTTTGATTCAAGGCAAATTGAGATCATATTATAATATATAATATAGAAAGTACGAATAATTTATTAGAAGCGAAGTAATTAAAATACCTCAAAGCTTTGAATATCATTCTGGAGACGACCACATGTGTTCATTAGTCTAAACAACTCATCATACTCTGCATTTTTCACGATGTCCTCCCAGAGATTTTGTCCCATGAAATACAGTGCTATGAGTATAGTTGGTCCCAATGCGAATGTCACAATTGAATTTTTCATGTATTCCTCCATTGTTGGCACATATTTGCTCCGTTGCCATTCTGCATCTGTCGCTAAAGACCTCAAATAATCCAACCACTGCAAATTCATGTATATATTGTAATGTCAACATACTTATCTACATTGTTGTTTTCAAGCCAATATGAATTTCATACGACTATGTGCATCTTGGTTATACAGAGACCGGAAGTGTTCTCGGCAAAATTGTATCACCTTGATGTAATTGGTTGAGTTCACTAAAAGCCTCTATTACTTAAAAGTTATGAAATTCGTAATTAGAGGATCACACATGAAACTCACCGATTCAACATTGTATTTTGTAACGTCGCGGTTCTGTACTGCGGAAGCCATTGCTCCAAGCTGGTTAACCGTAGAATATAGAGCGAAAAATACTGCTTTTACATTCTCAGAGTAGAACTCAACTTTGTGATACTGATCCCACCTATGACAACCATTAGAAAAGCAGGAACGATAACTCATTAATAAAGCATAACAAACAATACTACCTTTGAAAGAATAAAGTTCAAGAACCATACTTCTCGACTAAGGATATGAGATTTTCTTGTTCTTCTTTGGAACTTCCGACATCGAAAAAGTCATCGGCAACAAGTGTGAGCGCAATAGATTTTGCACACGCAATGCGAGCATCAGACAATTCATAAGGGCTTATGGTGGCAGCAGCAGAGAGATAGCTGTTTATTAGATTCTTCCGCGTAAATTCGAGCTGGTCCAGCTTATTTTCTTTCTCCCAACTGTCAAAAGAAAATTTTGCTGGCACTGTAAGGGTGGAAGTTAAGAAGACAAGTGAGCTAGAGACCTAGAGTATACCAGTGAAATACCTTTCAAGGTGCTGGATTTCATTTTGGTAAGTTGACTGACAAAAGCTGAAATCTTCAGCAGCCAAAGCCAAGAGATCTTCATTGACATGGCACGGCCTGGTTCAGAAAAGTATATTAGCTCATGTATTGACACGATTCCATGCGTAATTTTTTTCAGAAATATGATGCTTACATGTTTTTGGTCTTTATCTTCTGATAAGCCCTGGCATCAAAATTTTCAATGTTCCACTTGTGGTCTAGAGGTTCCAGCGTGGCATAAAATGGAAATTTGAGAGCATATTCTACCTGAAATTAGAAAAATAACTGAATTGTATGTAAACTTAAAGACCAACTGAAGTGGGGATTTTAAGTTTCATGCACTCACCTCTCGAAGGATTGGTGTTCCTCGGATGTCATCGGAGCACAATTTTTCTTTCAATAAGCTACCTGACCAGCAACCCATTTTCTCTAGGATTGGCTCATTTTCTGATAAACTGACTTTTGAAGCTTTGTACAATTCTAATAAGGATTTTGTATCATCTAAGTATCCTTCAACTGAGTTATGGAAAGTTGAGGCTTCAGCAACATGGGACAAGTCATCTGTGTGAGATCACTTACAACAAATTAGATCAAGACAAAAGAGAATAGTGTTGCTAAGAAAAGAAACTTTTTGGTATTAAAATACCTGAGGAAACACCATATCCGTTCATACGCAAAAGGCGAAATGCCATTGCGCATGTTGGTAAATCCAGCATTACTTCCTCATCTCTCTGTGACCATAAACTGCATGCAAAATAGATAATGTCAAGATTAGTCATGGTTCTTAAAAGGCCTTTGATTAGACATGGTTCTTACATGTATGTCTTATCCAAAATGCGCTTTATATCACTAGAAAAGTGCCGAGATATTCCAATATTGACGAGAGTATCCACCATTGAAAGCTGAGAAAATATATTTAGCGGATACACGGTTGGTACTGCAAGGGTACAATACCATATTAAGTATTTGGCAATATAGTCTACACACGTATACATCTTTCACAAGGAAAAACAATTCTTACCTTCACCTCCAAATTTATTGACAACAGAATATAGGTATCCCAGGGCTTTATCATCGTATCTGTGGACTAATGCAGCAGCAGTTGCAGCCGGGGAGTTGAACAATGATCCATTCTTCCCCTGGAACTTCATAACTTCACTCCAATCCACCATGCTTTCTTCTAGACCTTCAGCAATATAGGCGAAATATGCCTCTTTCCCCAAAGATTCGTCACCAGCCAGTCTAATTAATTGTAAAAGTATTACGACTCAATAATAATAATGAAAATATTCTTATTGCTATATCCATTGGTTTTTAAAAAAAATAACCGTAAAGTAACATGCTAGAAGTCATAACCATGATAATTAAATAGGTTTATATACAAAATATGACTCCACGCAGCAGCTTGACATAGATACATAACCAGATACTATTTTTTGTCACAAGGAAAACATTTGCATGCCTTTTATAATAATATTTCAACTGAAACATATATAAGCTTTTCTTATAATCATAATTCCATATTGGAAAAATTTATTTTAAAATTATAACATTACTCACAAAAGTTGCTCTTTTTTCGGGTACAACACTAATCTATTTTGACAACATTTTTTTTCATTAACTTACCTTTTCAATTCCATATCACGGAGGTGAAGAATCTGATCAATACTAATTTCACTGGCAGGAAATTCCAAACCCATCTTAATGGCAAGGTTAACCATAGCAGGGAATGTGAGGTTGAAGCCTATAGGTGCAGCAATCTGGTCATCAATAACAATGGAGAAATTCTTTGCGATAAAATGTAATCCTGCAAACATAATTAATTATTTTTCATTATCATTCAAATCTCGAAAGCATATAAGACATTGAAACAAATTATTGGAAGGTAACTAAATTGATGTCTATACCTCTCCTTATTTGCTCCGAACCGACATTCCATTTCTCAAGTGCAATAATACATGCCAAAGTGGATAGGAGAATATCCTTGCTGGCTGATGAGTCAAATTCATTGACACCCCACGACCCATTACTGTGTTGGTTTTGTAGTATCCATTCCACACATTCAGGGAAGCATGGAGCTTGAAGATGATCAGTGCCCGGCAATGGCACCATAGCCACCCATGCTATGTCATATGAAGATGGTAAGAACTCCGGGTTCTCCAAGTGCCTAAGTATTCTAGCCTCCCATCCCTAATTTGTGTAAAATGGTGAAGGGGTTTGATTAAGATTTGATGCTCAAACACTTTTCTTTAGATAATAAAATTTATTGCGGCCTTTCTTTTAAATAAGCTCCATCCAATTATATCAGAAAGGAAAGTTCGATATATGTGATGTCCGTACACCATACCATGTTTATCTGACTTGTATTTTCTCCTACCATCCTCCCCTCAACATATCCTGTTTCAACAGATGAAGATTTATGTTACAATGATCAGTATGGCACTACTCTTAAACCACAAATATTCAGCACCCATATTAACTGTACAACAGTAAATTTCATTTCATTGAAAAAGTAACTTTCAGAAAACGAGAATTTTAGGTATTGGTCCACCGGGTAATTAACCACCGTCTATCTTCTTTGTACCCATACTACTCATAGACTGTAAGAAATTTTAATTTTTATTAAAATATATATAGCCATCAAAATATTGTGGGACCAAAAGCTATGAAGGTTCAGGCTAGAAGAAACCCAACTCATAGTTGGGAAATTCATCACGTGCTTCTAGTTGATGCCTAAAGTACAATAATTAATAATTTATTGTGGCTATGTATTCAATTAAAGTGAATGGTTTTTTCTTATACATCAGTCAACATTTTGAACACTTTATCAATAAATCGACAACTCACCCTTATGTTTTTTTTAATGGAGCAAGTTAAAGAAATTATGCTTTGTGTAATGTCTTATTAGTAGAAAAATACTTCTTTTGTCCTAAAATATAACATTTTTAATCCTTGACATGACTATTAAGGATAGGTAAAAATACTTGTTTACCTTCTCGATGTGCGGGACCCCAGGTTATAGTTGGCTTGATAATAAAAGTCAAGGATGGTATGTGTTGTTCAGTGTTAAAAAGACGTCTATTACATACTTCCTCCGTTTCACAATGTAAGTCATTATAGCATTTCCCATATTCATAGTGATATTAATGAATCTAGATAGATATATATGTCTAGATTCATTAACATCACTATGAATGTGGGAAATGCTAGAATGACTTACATTGTGAAACGGAGGGAGTATTTAAGTTATTATATTTGGGATAAAATTAAACCCAAGAAATTACTATATTTTGGCATCTATAGAGTAGAAATTATGACTTATACAAGTATAATAACGTTTGGATATAAATCGAGAAAACAAAACAAAGCAAACTAAAAGTTGGGGTGGTTCCTTTCACCGAGTCTATTTTTGAACAAATATCTAGATCCGCCATATATAATTGAACATATAAAATTAAGACAACGTGATTCAAGAATCTAGACCCGCGCGCTAAATAGGACCCCATGACTCCATGACTCCATCCAACAAACCAAGGTAAGCCAGGAGGGAGTTTGATCTCATATACCGGGACAGGACGACATCACCGCTCGAGTCCCCGTGGAAGGAAGCTGCCGGCGACCGGTGTCGAGCTCGGCCGAGCAGGCGAAGCTGACATGAGGACGACGCATTCCTCCGTTATGCCGCCGGCGACAATCTAGCACGAATGGGGCGGCCGCCGCCGCCGCCGGGAGGAGGCCGAGGGCTCGCCGCCGGCGAGGTGCGAGCACGAGGCTGGAACGGGCTACAGCTTCCATAGGACTCGCCATTGGCACGAGGTTGGATTGAAATGGGTGATGTTAATAATTAACCTGATCTAACTAACAATGTTGCAGGCCCGATGCAAGCATATGGCTTTGTATTTATATAGCTTTGGACGATATATCGATGTTCAGTTTTCCAACGTGCTAGCTCTGGAACGTAACGTATACGTGGACGCTGGGACATACGAGATCTGAGCATGGTCGGCCGCTTTCGTCGCAGATTCCGTCTTCAAAAAAAATATAGTAGCAGCCTGGTAGGTCCAGTCCAAGCATGCCTTTGACCTATACCATGTATTTTGCATACCAAACTGGATCATAACCTGCATAAGTGCATTGCATCCCTGTGACATAGGTCCAAGCACGCACGCTTGGAAAGATGCCTGTGAATTTATCCTTTTGTTTTGTTCGAAAGAACTGTTTAGCTTACCTTTTATATATCCGCACGCGCGCAAAACGAGAAATATCATTAACCTATATATTATTAACTATTGCAAACCTTTAAAGTGAGCTTATTTAAATTTTTAACAAAACTTTTGTATATATAGAAAATTGAGTAAATCTTGCAAAACTACATATTTTCTCTCATCAAACTATCAAAAAAAACTACAAAAACTAGAGATCTAAGATATTCTATTGCAAAACTACGGATTTAACATCCGTTTTAACTTATCACAAAACTACATATTTAATATCAAGTAACATAAAACTGTAGATTTAATATTAATGTTGTCACGAAAATAGAAATTTTATAGTTTAAATTCTCCGCACTAATATTGTTTTCAAGTTGTATATGTTGTAGTTTTGTGATTACATATTTATGTTAAACTTGTAATTTTGTTATTTTATTACTAAATATATAGTTTTGTGATAGTTTATCTTATATCTATAGTTTGATGACAAATTTATTTTCTAACTCTATAGTTCTGTGATAATTTTGTTAAAACATCTGTAGTTTTGTAAAAAGTTATTTAACAGTTCGTTAAGAATGTTCATTGGAGTTGCAAAACCTAACGAGTTCTCAAACTGATCCTGAATCTATCCAGCTTTATTTGCCGACTAATATCTCCAGCTTGTCAAACATTATTTTGGTCGTACGTCATTGATAAAGTAGCTGATCAGCTATCCTCAAATCAGTGCGAGTCTGCGAGATGACACCTGGACTTCTGTGAATGGTGAGCAACGGTTCCGTTGAACGGTGCATGTTTTTTCCAGGCATGTGTTTTTCTGACGTCCTGGTTTATAGGAGAGCGACTCTTGGTGGAATATCCATGGCTCGAGTTCTAAGTAGGGTGGAAGTGGAATAGTACCGTAGTATTGATTCTATTGGACTCTATTTTTAGCTGATAAGAATATATTAACTTCATGTAATTTACTTTGAAAATTCTCCCCTTGGTGATAAGATTTGGCCAACAAAATTTAGACTTTCATCATTAATAATATCTGAAATGCTTAACTCGTGAAAAGGTATGTGCTTATATATATTTGCCTTGAAAATTACCCCTCCATCATAAATATCTTTGAAACTATCCTCGGGAATTAAGAAATTTGTATTAGGTGGAATTACTTGTCGATATGGTTGTTGATTTGAGATAAGAAATAGCTAGAGAAAATAAACAAGAGATAGTTCTGATTGGTTAAAATGGGGAACATGTGAATTGAATAGCTGTATTTTAAAATAAAATTTAAATGTTAATGGTAACTTATATTTTAGAATGGATAGATCACTCGTAAAAAAATTAATGACTAAAAAAGGTCGAAGCAAGGGATATTTATGACAAAGGAGTATTAGAGAACCCGGGATTATGATAAATAATGAACTATATATGCTTACATAAGAACGAGTATAATAAATCATATAATTAATAGGGCTCCAAAAATTAGCACATTAGATTTATTAGATTTATATTTAAGTGAAGAAGAGGGAAGAAAAATAGGCTACAAATTTGTGAGCAGTAGCACAAGCTTCGAGATGTATGTACAAGAGCAGGTACAATAGCAGACTATAAGCCAGCTATAAACACATTTTAAAGAGATAAAAGAAAAGAGAGAAGAGCATCGGGCTACAGATCTATAGCTAGCTGCAGCATGGACACCAAGATGTAATGTGCATATGACAGGTGGGACCAGGTATTAATAGTGTAGTAAGCAACCATTGTATGAATTGGCTATTACATTGGCTATAGATGATTTGGAGCTAGGAGTTTGCTATACTATTAAACTTGCTCTAAGAGGTTGTGACCAAGTATTAATGGCATAGTATATATTTTTGTGCAGCTACGATATAATTAACGTAAAATCTATTTCGAGAGGCTTGTCGATTTTGCCTTAACTAGCGACGCCTAAACATGGAGAAATGTGGAGAAGTCCAACTACTACATGGCACTACATGCATGTATTTTTTTAATATACATGTACGTCCTTTTCCTCTTCAAACAAAGTTTTCTTTCAAATTACTTATCCGATCTATAATCCGATTACACCATTGTGCTCGTTACAATTAAATCTTTACAACAATATCTTACATGATTATATTACGATGAAAAAATATTTATATTTGTAAATTACTTTTATTATATATGTAAGTTACTTTTATCATATATATAAGTTACTTTTAGAGTTGACTAAATTACTTCTTAGATATATAAAAGTGAATTTAATAGAGTCTAAAAGTAATTTACATATATTATAAAAGTAACTTTGTCACGACATTAGAAGTAAATTCGTTGTAGGGACAAAAATGTGACTTTATCTAGAAATTAAATTTAATCAGCACATATCAACACACATAAGTTTAACAATATTTAAAAGTAACTTCAATGTTAATTGGAAGTAACTTTTTCATGGTTAAAAAGTAACTCTCTATAAATCTGTTTAATCATCGATTGCTTTTTTCCTTTCATTTTTGTTTTTCATGTAGAATGAGAAAAGAAGATACTATTGCATTTTTCAAGTATATTATGCTTTTGTTTAGTATATTCTACTTGCTTTAAAATCTTAATATAGAGTGGTATCGGGGTATTAGCCGATACATGCTAGATCTATCTGATCGGCTATGCTATGAACATATATAGTCTTGTTGTTAATATATATTTTGATCTAAGTGATTTATACTGTCTCGGCTTGGCGACCGATCTATCCCAATCACTTGATTTAAGGATATATCTACATAAGGATTATATATCGTTAATATCTACAGCCGATCGAGTAGATTTAGTTCTTTCTTACTTATTCACGACTGCCGATCGATCTACATATGACATCGGCTCAAAGATAAATGATACGTCGTCGGCAACTAGGTGATCGGCTATTGTTTATGGATTTAACCGCGGTTTCTTTGTCTTTGTTTCTTGTTGATTGTAGGATCAAATTAACTGGCACGCTCATACACCTAAAGACAAGTTTTGGACCTGCACTGGAGTTAAGCAGATCTCCCAGGCCTCGTGTCTTTACATCGACACGCTTTTGGCACGCCCGGTGGGACAATTAGAAGTCAGAGTCGCAACAGCATTCTCTCATGGCTGAGAAACTACCAGCATCGCCATATTTGGCTGGCAAAGAGCTCCCTCCCAAGAATCGAAAGTCTGGTGCATTGGAAGTTAATGAGGGAAACATTGTTCCATCACTGTAGACAAGCTAACACCTGAGCAGAAGAAGGAGCTCGATCTGATGATGCAGCAAACACAACACCAATTCTTGAATTCATTCATGGAAACCTGTAAAGGAACAATTGCTCAATGGTATAAGATGAAATTAGTTGCTGATGTTCCTGGGACAAGTTCTTCCAAGGATGGAGAAGTACAACAAATCCCAACTAGTACAGCTGAATCAGGTGGTAAAGGTGCTGCAGATGGCTCAGGAGATAAAGGTGATGGTTCTCAGGGGGTGCAAGGTGAGGATCTCAGCCTAGATGGTAATACAGCACAGTTATAGTTTAATAACTTCCAAGATCGGATTGACTATGCTGTGCAACATGCTTTGATTAATTAATCTGGGGTGTTAGTTATTACCTTGTCAAATATGGTTAAGTCAATGGTTGATGGTTCGATAGCTGAATATCAGGCTAAAGGACCAGTTTGTTTACCAGGGGGTGTTTTCCCAAACTATCGGCCCTTGATCACTAATAATCAGCCGACTGTTCAGCCAATTGCTCCCAATGCGCCACCAGCTCAGCCGACAGCACCAGTATCAGCTCCTGCACCTAATGCACCATCATCGACAAAAGGACAACTAATCAATCCTCGGTTGTTGGTGAGATAGCAACCACAGCATGGTGGACAAAATGTCAGTCGGCTAACTCAGTAGCAAGTTGCTGCTATGTTCTTACCAACTCAGCCTAATGTTGACCCAGTCCAGCAGCAGCCGATTCAGCAGATGCCACCGAGGCAGCAGGTTGCTCAGCCGATTCAGCAGCAAGGTTTGCTAAATGCATCGGCTGGGTTGAGGACGTCCGATAATCAGCCGAGGCAGCACGTTGCAAATCAAGTTGTCCCAGAGAATTTGGTTCATAATGTGCAACCAGATCAATTGGTGATACCTCAAGTTATTTCCGAACATTTGGTGCGCAACATACAGCCAAACTTTCAGAATTATCAAGGGGGCAATTTGAATTACCAATATCAGCCTCCATCGCCACAGGTTCAGTATCAGCAAGGAGGATCGGCTCAGCCCCAATTTGCTCCTCAATACAATCAATTCGAGCCTGTGCCGCAACAAGCGCAGGGGGCGCCTCAGCAAAGACCATGGGCCGATATGATTGCAGATGTGATGAGAGAGCAGTTTGGGCTCAAGCCAAAGGATACGGGAAACTTATATCGGCATCCATACCCTGAGTGGTTTGAGAGGGTTCCATTGCCTAACCGATTCAAAGTTCCAGATTTTTCAAAATTCTCAGGGCAGGACAGTGTTTCAACCTACGAACATGTCAGCCGATTCTTAGCTTAGTGTGGTGAAGCATCGGCTGTTGACGCCTTGAGGGTCAGGTTGTTTCCCTTGTCTTTTTCCGGATCGGCTTTCACTTGGTTCTCTTCTTTGCCGTACGGTTCGATTAACAGTTGGGCCGATTTGGAAAAACAATTCCATAGT